TGGCGACGAGACGCCGGGGAACGATCAGTCGGCTCGAGAGTGAGGAAGAAGGGGAGGTCGGTGACCGTCTGATCGAAGAAGCGCTGGGTCTTGTCATCCCCTAGGGTAACGGAGATGGGAGTCGGAGACCCTGTCGTGGGTAAGCGGGCTTCCTTCACCACGCGTGGGTGAATGAAGTCGCCCTGAGAACCGGAATCCCACAACGCTGAGTACACCCTCGTGGAGGTCCCGAGTCGTACTGGGATGATCGGGAGGGTAACATCAGGGTCAGAGAGGATGGCGAGAAGGCGACACAGTGCAGCGACATGGAGGGTGAGTCGCTCCTAACGAGCCTGGAGCATGCTCAAGTCCAGAAGAGAGGACACAACGTCCTCGCGAGTAGCAAGCTGCTCGCTGCAACGGGTTGAGCGAATGGCTCGACGCGTCGGTAGTCGCAGCGAGGAAGGAGGGGAGACGGTGGTCTGCGGAGGCGCAGACGGTACTGCGACAGAGGGCTGAGTACACTCTGTCGAGTCCTGCGATACCTCAGCTCCAGTAGCGAGAGGGGCGAACCGCGACGGAGATGTCGGGAAGCCCACAACTCAAGAGGGCGTAGGTGTACACTGCACCGTGGCTAGGAGGCGCCGCGGGGACATGAGGCGCCAGGGGGGGATTGAGCACGACGCTGACGAGAAAGATCAGCGTAGTGGCGGCCGAGGGCGGTAGTGTAAGGGCATCGCGAGGAGGTATGACCGTCCAAGCGACAGCGCAAACACCCATGTCGGCCCAGAATAGCCGCGCGCTCCTCAGCGAAAAGGACACCGCGAGGAGGGACAAAGCCCTAAGGGAGGTCCTCCTGAGGGACCTCGGGGGGCGACGCGCCAGCATGACCAGGGCGGCTGTGTGCCCGAGAGAGGGCGGAGAGCGCGAGCTGAAGGCGCTCAGCTGCAGGGAGGATAAAGTCCTCCAAGTGATATTGGACGGCCTCGCAGAGGTCGAGGTCGTTGCTGTAGTCGCCCTCAGGTGACAGTGGGGCAACAGAGTCCTGCTCACCATACTCCAGCGCGCTGAAGCGGCGCGAGAAGTGGCGGCCCTGTTGCGTGGAACGGCGGGGGCGACCGAGGAAAGGGGAACGACGCTGGGAAGTGTCGTGAGAGGAGGAGGAGGCGTAGCCCGTGCGCTTGGGTTGGGAGGAGGAGGCGGGGTGAAGACGGGCTCGCATCCGCTGGTGGTCCCTGGCGGCCTTGTAAGCCTGTGGGGCCGATGTGAACTCGTACCGCCATATCTCGGAGCGGTACTCGAGCGGAAGGCTGGCCAAGAAACGATCGATAAGGGCAGCCTCGGGGAGGAACGCCACGTCGCAAACGAGGCGGGCTTCCAGAAAGATTTGGATGTGGCGATCCAGGCCGGCAGCGCCACCAGAGCCGGACCAGCGTGTAGTGACGACACGCT